AGAGAGAGAGAGAGAGAGAGAGAGAGAGAGAGAGAGAGAGAGAGAGAGAGAGAGAGAGAGAGAGAGAGAGAACCGGCAAGATGGCCGTTGGGCCCCGACGACTTCGCTGCCACTCTCTCTCTCTCTCTCACCCTCTCTGTGGCGCCAACAAAAATGAAAGCTTTATTTTTTTTTCTTTTTGCTTTTTCTATATATTTTTTCCTTTTTTATTTTTTTTCCCTTTTCCTTTTTCTATTTTTTTTTCTTTTTTCTTTTTCTATTTTTTTCCCCCGTTTTTTTCTCGCACGAGGCCTGGGAAGTGCCTCGGCACAGCTCGGCATACCGGTCGGCCAAGGCTCGGACTTCATAGCTGGGCCAAGTACCCCAAAATCAGCACCCGATTGTGGAGAACAGAGGAGACCTAGGGCTTTCAGTGAATGCCAGGGATCTTTCAGCGAATGCAGGCGAAATCCGAGAAAGGGAAAAAAAGTGAAAACGCCAGTGGAGCCCGCAATTCTTCAAGAACTCCAATGGAGCACAACCCTTCGTTTGTTTGGGAAATCGGGACGGAAGGGGGATGGGGGGGTCTTTGTGGGTTGCCCGAGGCCTTGTGGGCAGGGCGACACAGGCCAAACACTCACCATCCTGTCACCAACCAAAACCACCAGTACTTCCTAAAGTCGCGTAGCGTTAACGCTACGCAATTTTAGGAAACGTACGGGCCACTACAGGAGCGCCCAAATTCATCCAACTAGAAACGTTTCTAGTCTATTTTTTTCCGCGGCCGATAGCTGGGCCAAGTACTGGTGGTGCACCAGGCCAAAAACTGACCCCCTCGTCACCCACCTAAGGGCTTCTTACCATGACCCACCCACGTCCGACTCAGGAAGGCGATTTTAGACCCAGATCTGACCCAGCAGCTTGTGGAAAGAGGGTGCAGGTATCGGTCTGGATACCCGGCGCTCATCTCTGCTCTCTTTTTTTTTTTTTTTTTTTTTTTTTTTTTTTTTTTTTTTTTGTTTGTTTGTTTGTAACCACCGTTTTTTTTTTCTTTTTTTTTATTTTTATTTTTATTATTTTTTATGTGGGTGCTTACAGGACCCACCAAGGTGCCCGCAAAATGCGTACCCCCGTGGCCTGCAAGGCAGCTGACGTTCCTCTACTCCATTTGCGATCCTTCTCTTTTTGTGGCGCTGTGGGACCAGAAACGTAGGGCAGGTTTTGCAATTTGCGGACGTTTGGTCCCAGTGTGAGTATGCCTTGGGACAGTCTGAGCAGAGCCACCCTCCAACAACCAAGTGATCAGGATCAGCCACAGAGGAATAGGCAGGCCGAGCAGGGTACTAGCTGCGTGCAAACGGCCGCGAGGAACTGTCTCTCTCTCTTCTCTCTCTCTCACGCCCACACCCACACACACTCACTCACAGTGGTGTTGTGCGTGAAGACGCGGAGAGTCGCATTCACCCTCGGTCCAAAAAGGAAACAGGTGGGTTCGCGCAACCGTGGCGTAGTGCACTCTCTCTCTCTCTCTCTCTCTCTCTCTCTCTCTCTCTCTCTCTCTCTCTCTGTGTCTGTGCCTGCCTGTCTGTCCCTC